TCTTCATTGTTTTCATCAACATTCTCATCAAGCCAAATGACTACGTGGCTCTCAATTATATGTGTTGCTGTTTTATTCATCTTAAACACAACAAATTACCCTTCAATGATAGTGCATCGTAGAGAAAGATACGTTTTTTTGTAACATAGAGATTAGAATTTTCATGAATACAGAGAGGAACTACTCTTCATTTTCTCAAGGCTTTTTGTCAACGTCAGACATATAACGCACCTCTTTTGTTGATATATGATAACGCGTCGCGCAGGTTTTCAAACGGATACTATGATTCGAACAACTAAAACAAAGAGAAGAATGTGGTGTGGGTATGACAGAGAAAACTAACCAAATCAAAATCGATACGCACAGCTCACGCTCACCATCCTTGTCTAACTAAGAATATTTCATTCTGGCTGCAGAGACTGTAGAATATACATGTATCATAATGAGGGTGTGGGTATTGGGTGTGGGTGGGTGTGGGTGTGGGTGTGTGTGTAGAGTGTGTTAGTAGTTCAAACGGAACCCACACCCACACCCATACCACACCCACACCCACATCCACACACCCACACACCCACACATCCACACCCACACCCTCAGTCTCAACATATCCTGAAAATTTCATACGATGTGCATGTACCTCTACCAAAATCGATTTTTGACGAATGATGGTCGTACACTTCAGTGAACAAAATACTTCTCATTCCCTCTTTTTACATCGTGAAGTATAGCCGCATTTTTTCTTTACATTCATCGAATTTATTTCGATTAACGTTATTCTCTCTTCATTGGCAAGGGAAGAGAAATGACAGAAGGTATAATTAATTATTCGATTAATGAGCAATATATGCCGCAACAGCATCAAAACCAAAACAACAACAACAACACGAATGAACAAGTAGATTGGATTTTAAAATTTTTATCAGAAAGTCCTGAAGCAGCATCAAACGTGCATAAATACCTTCAAAAGAATTATTTCAACAAGTATCAATTTAAGGAACCAAACAGCTCTACACCGAAACGTAGTCATCCTCTTGATGAAAGCGGTGGTTCTATAAATAATGGAAGCAGTCGACGACAACATCAGCGAAAAAGATTTCAGCAAAATCAAGAAAACGAGATCGAACTCAACGATATACAAAACATGACACAAAATAAACGTCAAGGCAATGAGTCATTAACCGTTGCTCAACAAGTTACTACCGAAAATATCAATACTCGTAAACGTATTTCATTTGCTCAGCTGAAACATGCAGTTTCATCCAACCTGCCGTGCTTCCACGTACAATGGCCACCTGACACTGATCGAAAAAAAATACCATCAGCTATATGTGCGAGTGAGCTAATAAGTAAAGAATTGAAAATAAATGGAGTAGAAATCAATGGATTTACCCTAGTCGGTTGGGCTGGTAGAAAACTTAAACTAGGTGTGAATAATAAAGTCGACTACGCTACTCTTGTCGCAACTGATAAATGGCCTGCTAAGATCAATGGAATCGATATTGAAGTCATAAAGCCTAAATATACGCCAGACGCTTTCGTACTTGTTATTCGTTATGTTCCACAAGAATTAGATGAAGAATTCGTAGCAAACGAAATACAACGTACTATTGCATCAGCAAATCATACCAGTCGTATTCGGTATAATTACAAAAGGAAAACCAGTGATTATAGGTTCGAAGTCAAAGATTATCAAGAATATCAATCAATACTAAAACTCGGTCGTATTGCTATAGGTTATTCATGGCTATCAGTTACTCCATTTTATCCAGGTAATCGTTTGACCTATTGTACCAAATGTTGGTGTATTGGTCATTTGAGAAACCATTGTAATTCATCAGCTAAATGTCGAATCTGCCTTGAGATGCTCACAGAAAATTCATTGCACATTTGTAAAAAGGAACCTAATTGTGCACAATGTAATGGAAAACACCACTCTCTGGATAATCAATGTCAGGTAATTCGTGACTATAAGCTACAATTAAAAGTAGACGTTGAAGAAGCTATTAATAGTGGCAAATTACATCGTATTCTACCAAAAGAAAAAGCACCAACATTCGAACTCCGAGAACAAGATTTTCCAGCATTGGCAACAAATACTGTGAGTCAACCTCCGAAATGGAACATAGTACAAGGTCTTATGTCACGTATACCTAATACAACAACAGCACCAGAATCAGAAATGTCAGTAGGAAGTATCAATAATAATTTGCTGAAACTCTTAGATAGCAATAAACGAATAGAAGAAAAAGTCGATCGATTCAAAATAGATTTAAAAGTAGTTACTCTTGATACTCAATTACACCAAGCGGTATTACTCGATGTTATCGAAACCATGAAAGACTTCACTCAAAAATTTATACCGTCATCACTCACGTATAACAAGAATGATAGAGCATCGTTAATACCAGTCGTACAGCAATTCTACAATCGTTTTTGCTATGCAGCTATGAGTTTAAATGATGGTTTTCAACTTAATCGTAAAGTTTCGCATGCACCATCACAAATATTAAGCAACAACATTATTCAACCAACTGCTATAATGCCAACAACAGAGAACCTTTAACTTGCTAAATAGTATGTCTAGCTTGAATGTTCATGCAAAAGAGTTTTTTCCCTCCACCTCGATATCACAAACCTTAAATCCGAAAGTACAAGCGTTACACCAATTAAGAATATGGAATTTTTCAGTAAAGGATTATAATTTAGTATCCTCTCTCCTAGACGAGTGGTATACAAATAAGACCTTGAATTCGGTTTTACATCAGTGGGAGAAAATCGGTTCCGTCAATTTCAACGATCAAAGTGAGAATTTGAAGATTCTGTCTTATAATGTTCACGGCTGGGGCACACGAGCTTTAGAGGCAATTGATATAGCATACAAAGTACAAGCTTCTATTTGTATTTTTACAGAAGTAGGAGAGACATGGAGCACATGTCAAGTGCCAAATTTTAACACGTTTTATCAAGAAGGCACAAATAAAAATGGAGGAGTGTGTATAGCAGTAGGAAAGCATTTGAAAGCAACGTGTATTAATGTCAAAACACCAAATACAGTTATTATAGATATAACAGGCCTATCAGAGCCATTACGTATTATTGGTATTTATTGGCCTAGTAGTCAACAACGCGAGCTTGATGATATTCTCCCTTACATAGTTGATGGCACGATACTGACTGGTGATTTTAACGCTACAGTGAAGGAATGGAATAGTCCATTTACAGATAAAAGAGGTGCGATCGTGAAGGAATGGATTGATGAAAATAGTCTTAAGTACATACCATCAACTTCCCACACATCAAAACGCTCTCTACGTAATATAGATTTATCATTTTCAAATAGCATTGATATTTCGTGTGAAACATTAAATCTAGGCACTAGTGATCATTGGCCGACGTTACTTTCATGTGAAAATGTATCTTTTCCTACTAATAGTATATTTCCTCATACAAATTGGAAGGCATTCGAAGCAGTTTTAGTTTTATTCCAGTCATTTTGGGAGAAAGAACAAAGAAATAATAACAGCGTAGACGAATGGTATAAACAATACATTCGCTTCATCGCGGCTGTTAAGAATAGAGTGACTCATTGGAAAGAAAGAGAAAAATACAGACCGTCTTTACCAAGTAACATTATCGAGAAATTAAAAGAAACAAGAAAGATAAGAAATAAATACTACCACCTTAGAAAAAAAGGAATATTATGCGAAGAAACAAGAGTTTTATTGCGTGTTATGACTAAAGAATCAAAGAATTTGATAAGTAAATATAAAGCAGATCGATGGCAAAGTTTTTTGTCAGACATCCAGTCAACTCATGATAACAAAGATAAAGCATATTGGAGGCACCTATCTCGTATATATAGAACAAGATCACTGCCGTTCTATAAATTAACAACAAATAACAGAGTACTATCGACACATCAAGAAATAACAGAAGAACTAAGACGACATTATTGTGATCAATTTCGAGCACCTTTAGTAGACTCTGTTGATGCACATGGTGCTAAAGTAGAGTCGGAATATAAAGAGCTGTTAACTAAATTATCCAATAGTAATAAACCAGTGAGAGCTACTAGTGTTGAAGAAATTAGAGGATTAATAAAGACATTAAAACCCAAAAAATCAAGTGGTTTTGACCAAGTGTCAAACTTTATGATTAAAAAACTGCCTCCGAGCTATATAGAATGTCTGACCAATTGCTTTAATATTTGGTTGAATGGATGTAGATATCCTGATGAATGGAAAATAGCAAAGATCGTAACCTTAAACAAACTGAAATCAGGTGCTCCCAAGTGCGATCAAACTCGTCCAATCTCTCTGTTAGCAACACATTCAAAACTATTTGAAAAAGTTTTGCTTCTAAGAGTTAGAGAATGGGCAGAAAGTAATCAATTAGTTCCTATAGAGCAATCAGGATTTCGGCCAAAATGTCTACTTCCTACTCGAGTACTATCAATCTATCAAGAGATTAGAAACAATATGGCAGCCAATATACCTACACTCGCGATCTATGTAGACTATCAGAAGGCATATGATCGTGTTTGGCATGCAGCTCTGTTAGTGAAATTATTGAGTTTTGGCATGCCGATCGAGTTATTGAAAATAATCGAAAGCTGGTTAAAAGATAGGAGGGCTTATGTTGCGTTTGGTGAAAAAACGTCAACAATGTTCAATATAAGTATAGGACTTCCTCAAGGGAGTAGTTTAAGTCCATACTTGTTCATAGTTTTTCACTGCGATTTAATAAACTGTTTAGGAGCACATTCTTGTCATCTTTTCGCAGACGATCTGAGTGTTTTAATTAAGCCACCTATTCGGAAGGAACTAGCTCAAATGATTCAATATCTAGAGAAAGAAAGTACTCGAATCTGCAATGAAATATACGCATACTCGAAGAAATGGAAGCAACCAATAAATGTGACTAAAACAGTGGCACAATTATTTCATACACAAGTAAAAAGACCTATAATATATGTAACAATGAATGGTGAACAAATCGAGTTAGTCAGAGAATTCAAGTACTTAGGGTTCACATGGACGGATAAGTTATCCTTGAAACCTACTGTCGATAAATGTATCGCGAATATTCAAAGATCCTTAGGTAAGCTGAAGTGGTTACTGTCTGGTAGAATTGTGTCATCTAAAGTACTTCGTCAATGCTTCTTCGCATATACATTTCCTCACTTTGCTTGGTTATTTCCTTTCTATCCTCTGTTACCAGAATCGCAGAAACAAATACTGAACCAGAAATTTCGTATGGGTCTTAGATTGGTGTATCGCTGTCCTTTCGTCTCCGCACATAATCTTTTCACAGTAACTTCAGAGTTCCCCTTAGAATTCTATGTTAAAAAGTACGTCCAAAGGAGACTGAAAACAATGCATTTAACAGATCTTGGATCTTCACCTTTTTATAATGATATATTTGCATGGAGCGAATTCTACAAAAGAAAAAATGATCACCTTGGCCAATTTTTTCGTTTGCGACGTGTGCGATTACTAGTTGATCGACACGAGTCGTTTCTTTTGAAATGGCTGAGTTTCGTTGAAACAAACTAGTACCAATGTCGTACTCCTTTTGCCTTTTTTCTTTTTTTTTTTCTTTTTATTTTATCATGTCTCTCTTTACGTTGAGTAGCTCCTTTTATTCATTTTTTTTTTCCTCTTTCTCTTTCTTTATTATATTTTTTTTTCCCTCTTTCTCTTTCCTTATTATATATATGTTTTCTTTTTTTTTTTCGATTTCATTTTTCTTTCTCTCTTCTTTTATTTTCCTTTTCTTCTTTTCATTTTTCATTCTCCATCCCTCTATCAGCATTATCAAATCGTCAAAAGCTTCGATATTAAGACAATGACGAATGTTAAAACGTTCAGCTTATAATTGTTATATTTGATTCTGGTGTCGCACAATACTTTGTCTTTAAATTCTATGTAAGCACTTCCGAGTGTTACATACCCTAGCAAAATAAAAAAAAAAAAAAAAAAAAAAGTGCAAATCTTTTTTATCATATTAATATAGCTACGATTATGTCTTTTAATTTTGTTTGAGATCTATTATTTATGA